AGAGCCAAAAGGTAAAAGTTTGGATCTTTTACTTGGTTCTTGTACTTGAATTTTAGTGGGAACCGCAAAATTGGAATTATTTATCATCGTCAAGACTTTCCAGTGTTTTTAAAGTTTATTTCAACTTTAATGGGCGAAGTCCAATTTTGGGCGAAATAAAATAAAGATGAAGAAAAGCAAACTTCAGGAAAAGATTGTCCATCTTCTTTCTAAATAGTTGAAGATAGGGGTTTACACTTCTTATTCTATTTTGTGATGATTATTGTGATTATTTAATAATGCAGCTTCCAACTTCAAGTGAGTGATGAGTCTATGTTAAACATTAACTGATTGAACTCTAATAAGCAAAGAGGAAGAAGAACTGATATTTCTGAGGGGCTCCGGTAATGGGTAGGTGGTTTTGCTTTTGTTTTCAGTGCATTTTCTCAAGGAGAATGATCCTCCTTATATAGAGGCTTAACCCATCATCTCTACCCCTCAGATCCGCCCCCATGAGAGATTTTCTCTCAACCACCCATGATTCACGTTCTCCACCATTCTCTCAACAGAGAAACAATGGTTGATTTGGTCATCAATGACCAAGTCAAGCTAACATCTCCCACTTGACCAAATTAACCAAGTGACATGCCTCCCACTATCCATGAGAGATACTGGATCTCAATATGTTTTCCTTTGGAGCTATTCGCGCCACTATTGATTAAGCTAATTGCTGCTTGATTATCACAATAAATATCAATAGGTCCTTCTAACAAATTGAGATCAAGATCAATCAAAAACCGTCTTATCCAGACAGCATGTGTAGTTGCCATACTGCAAGCTATATATTCAGCTTCTTGCGTATATCTAGCAACACACCCTTGTTTCTTGCTACTCCAAGAAACAGCTCCTCCTCCAAAGATAAATAAGTGTCCCGAAGTGGACTTTCCATCATCTTTATCACCTCCGAAATCAGCATCGGAATAACCGAGGAGTTCAAGCGAATCAGCTTGATAAACTAATCTATGAGTCAATGTACCTCTGATATACTTCATAATCCTTTTAACAGCTTCCCAATGTGCTGGTCCTGGATTACTTTGATATCTACTGACTAGACTCACAGCATAAGCTATATCAGGTCTGGTGCACAACATTGCATACATCAAGCTTCCAATTGCTTGAGAATAAGGAACATCTAATGGCTTTTGCCCCTCTCCAGGGCTTTGCTCTTTACATAATCTCTTTCCCATAACCAACGGAGTTGGTGCCGGATTGGAATTCTCCATTCCAAACCTTTTAAGAACTGATCTTAAATATTTTTCTTGGTTTAAACTTAGCATTCTAGACTTTCTATCTCGAATTATTTGAATTCCAAGAATATATGATGCATCTCCCATGTCTTTCATCTCAAACTTTTCGCTGAGATCTGCCTTGGTTTTATTCAACATTTCTATGTCATTTCCAGCGAGCAATATATCATCCACATATAAGGATAATATAGTAAACTTGCTCCCACTTTTCAAGACATATACACAATTATCTAATTTATTTTGAATAAAACCAAGTTTAGTGACTGCATCATGAAATTTGAGATACCATTGTCTAGAAGACTGTTTTAAATCATATAGAGATTTCATTAATTTGTAAACTTTATGTTCCTGTTCTTTCACCTGAAAACCTTCAGGTTGTTGCATATATATTGCTTTCTTCAATTTTTTATTAAGGAATGCAGTTTTAACATCCATTTGGAATAACTCCAAATCAAGATATGCAACAATAACCAAAATAATTCTAATGGATGCAAATTTAGCTACAGGAGAATACGTCTCCTGAAAATCTATTCCTGCCTTCTGGTTATAACCTTTGGCAACTAACCGTGCTTTGAATTTATCAATAGATCCATCAACACGATATTTCTTTTTGAGCACCCATTTGCATCCTATGGCTTTCCTATTTTCTGGTAGATCACATAACTCCCATACCTTATTCTTTTCTATGGAATCAAGTTCTTCTCTCATAGATTCTAGCCATGAAGCTGATTCATGCGATTTCATCGCATCAGAAAAAGTTAAGGGATCTTGTTCTTCTATATTTGTATCTACCGAAAAACAGGATGATTCACATGAATACAAATAGTAATCATCCATCCATGAAGGTTGTGTTCTTGGTCTTTTGTTGCCTATAACCGGTTGATTAGGTACATTATTTTTCATAGGTATTTCATCATTTTCAAGGTTAGGTTCATTCACAATATTAGGGTCATTAGTAGGAACAACACTGTAATAATCATCATCTATTACAGTTAGAGGTTCTGTTTCCTCTTGAACTTGTTCCTCTTCCTCTAGATTCTCTAGAACTGTAGCATCTCTGCTTTCAATGACACCTTTTTCTTTATTGTAGAACTTATAACCTTTTGATTTTTCTGAATACCCTATGAATCTACACTTTATTGTTTTAAAATTCAACTTATCTCTAAGTTGACATGGAATGAGAACATGAGCTATTGATCCTCACTTCCTGAGATGACTCAAATTAGGTTTCCTCCCATTCCATAATTCATAAGGTGTAGATATAACTGATTTGGTGGGAATTCTATTTAAAATGTAGTTTGCAGTTAACAATGCTTCTCCCCAAAAGTTTTTAGAGAGACCAGAATGAGACAACATGCATCTAACTACATTTAATAATGTTCTGTTTTTTCTTTCAGCAACACCATTCTGTTGTGGCGTATACGGCATTGTCGTATGCCTTTTAATTCCATGCTGAATACAATAACTTTCAAATTCTTTAGAATTATATTCTCCACCTCTATCAGTTCTTAAAATTTTGATTTTCAATCCAAGTTGGTTTTTAACTTCTGTCTTATATCTCTTAAAGTATTCAAAAGCTTCTAATTTTCTGGATATAAGATAGACGTGTGCAAACTTGGAATAATCATCTATAAAAGTAATAAAATATTCTTTATTACTATGAGTTTTGACACTTAGGGGACCACAAATATCCGAGTGTATCAACCCTAAAAGTTCATTGGCTCTATGTCCGTCAACAAAAGGTTTTCTAGTCATTTTATCAGTTAAACAATGTTCACATGGTGACAATTGAACATTAGATAGTGCAGGAAGCAAGTTCATTTTGATAATTTCTTTCATTTTTGAAATACTAGCATGTCCTAGTCTAAAATGCCACAATTCAGATTCAGAAATATAACAGGACAAGTAGTTCAAATTCGAAATTTTATTATCAGAATTATTACAAACTACTGGAAGAATGCATAATTCATGCTCGGGCACATATTTTCCCATAGCATACACTTTATTATTCTTGCGTATAGAAACCCTGTTATTATAGAACCTCACTTACAGTCCTTTCTTCATCAAGCTGGGAACAGAGATCAGATTGCGTCTAATTCCTGGCGCATAGAACACATCTTTGAGGACAAGAATGTTGTCCCCAAGATCCAATCTATACAAACCAATACCTTCTACATCGATATATGTATTATTTCCCATATAGATTCTCTGTTCTCCCTTCTTCAGCTCGGTGAATTCTACGACTCCATTCTTGTCCTTTGCAATATGCCTAGTCGCACCGGAGTCGATCCACCAACCACGGATATCCATCATCACAGCATTACATTCCGTCACACCGACGAATTCTCTTTTGCTAGTACCCCCTTGTTCTGGATGCTTATAGCCTCCCTTATTCTCCTGCTTTTCACCTTGTGGGCAATTGGGTTTGAAATGCCCGAACTTTCCACAATTGTAACAGGCTCCGCGGGGTACTTTCTTTCTCTTGAACTGCTGCGATTTCGGTCCTCGTGGTTGTGGTTTACTAGAACCAGGGTTTTTATAGCTTCCAGCATTATGCCTCTGGCGGACATAATTCAGCTCTTGCTGCACCATATTCAATTCCGGTTCCTTCCTACTGGCTATTAACTCCTGTTCTATCGCTAGGTGCATAGGAAGATCAGTGACAGACTTAATGGCAAGATTCATTCTTAATGTGGTGGCAGCCACAGCAAGTGAAGGGGGAAGACTATTCAAAATGGTTGCCACTTGCATTCTTTCCGGGATTTCGGTCCCAGCAGTGGATAAGTCCTTAGCCATGACAATCATTTTATTTATATGCTCTACGACATTGTCTCCCTCTTGCATACGACAAGAATTATACTTATGCAAGAGTAGTTGGATGTTAACTTCAGAAGCAGTGTCGTATTTTTCTTTTATTGCATTCCACATGTCCATGGAAGTTTTATAAGTTTCAAAAACTTTAATTAAATTATCTTCCATCAACATGAGCATAAGACTTTTTGCCTTTTTGTCTTTCGACTTCCACTGTTCAAACCCTTTCTTTTCTTCAGGTGTAGATTTATCAGTAAGGGTTGGAGCAGTGGTTTCGATTATATCATCAATGTTGTCATGAATAAGAGCATATCCTATTTTTCTATGCCACATATCATAATTACTACCATTAAATTTGTCAGTTTTGCCTAGTTCTGATAGAACGAGTTTACTAGCCATTCGGTAAAGAACTAAAACTAAATTCAATTTTAAATATTTGTATAAGGTTGATATTTTGACAATAATACTAAATAATAATAAAGTATAAAGTTAGATAAATAAATAATTAAATTAAAATGAACCTGATTTTTGTGAGTTGAGAAACGAAACTCCAATAGAAGCAATGTCGTCACTTAACGGTGTTGACCGAAGAATCTGTTGTCGAAGTTTCGACGTCGTTTCTAACTGGATATGGAGATGATCTGCTCTGTGAAATCAACTTTGCGCGGTGTCCTTCACTTGAATAGGTGAAACAGGCCTTCACTCGGAGTGTGAAAACAGCATACACCACTGGTCAAGAAAGCCCAAATGCAAAGGCCCAATAAGCAGTGATTGGTAAGTTGAAACTATGTTATGAAACAACTAGGCTATGAAATAATAGGGAGGATGCAAAGTACTGAAGGCCTAATAGGCTATGAAAAAAAAAACTCAGCTTGATGAACAGTAGGGAAGATGTAGGAAAAAATGAGAAACGTCTTGACAAAAGAGCTATCAATAGGCTAGACTAGGCTTATAAAAAAAACAGTAGGTTAGCTAGGAAACAAGAGGCTGTGACTTGACCGGCTATAAAGTAATAGGGTGTAGGCTATGACTTGACCGGCTATAAACTTTGAGACATGGCTTTGCTCCCTGGATTTATGAATCCTTTCTTTTCTTCTTCTTCAACCGAGAGCTCTTCTTCTTCAAGAACTAGAAAAATGGAGAGAGGGAGAGAATGACTCTGATACCAGTGATTGAACTCTAATAAGCAAAGAGGAAGAAGAACTGATATTTCTGAGGGGCTCCAGTAATGGCTAGGTGGTTTTGCTTTTGTTTTCAGTGCATTTTCTCAAGGAGAATGATCCTCCTTATATAGGGGCTTAATTCTAATAAGCAAAGAGGAAGAAGAACTGATATTTCTGAGGGGCTCCGGTAATGGGTAGGTGGTTTTGCTTTTGTTTTCAGTGCATTTTCTCAAGGAGAATGATCCTCCTTATATAGGGGCTTAACCCATCATCTCTACCCCTCAGATCCGCCCCCATGAGAGATTTTCTCTCAACCACCCATGATTCACGTTCTCCACCATTCTCTCAACAGAGAAACAGTGGTTGAGGACTTATTTATTCCTAAGTCCCATCAAACTTACATGTTTGATAAAAGATTCCGCTGGTATTCCTTTTGTCAAAGGATCAGCAATCATATCTGTAGTAGGGATATAAGTCACTTTGACTTCTCCCTTTTCTACAATATCTCGAATATAGTGATATTGGATCTCAATATGTTTTCCTTTGGAGCTATTCGCGCCACTATTGATTAAACTAATTGCTGCTTGATTATCACAATAAATATCAATAGGTCCTTCTAACAAATTGAGATCAAGATCAATCAAAAACCGTCTTATCCAGACAGCATGTGTAGTTGCCATACTACAAGATATATATTCAGCTTCTTGAGTATATCTAGCAACACACCCTTGTTTCTTGCTACTCCAAGAAACAGCTCCTCCTCCAAAGATAAATAAGTGTCCCGAAGTGGACTTTCCATCATCTTTATCACCTCCGAAATCAGCATCGGAATAACCGAGGAGTTCAAGCGAATCAGCTTGATAAACTAATCTATGAGTCAATGTACCTCTGATATACTTCATAATCCTTTTAACAGCTTCCCAATGTGCTGGTCCTGGATTACTTTGATATCTACTGACTAGACTCACAGCATAAGCTATATCAGGTCTGGTGCACAACATTGCATACATCAAGCTTCCAATTGCTTGAGCATAAGGAACATCTAATGGCTTCTGCCCCTCTCCAGGGCTTTGCTCTTTACATAATCTCTTTCCCATAACCAACGGAGTTGGTGCCGGATTGGAATTCTCCATTCCAAACCTTTTAAGAACTGATCTTAAATATTTTTCTTGGTTTAAACTTAGCATTCTAGACTTTCTATCTCGAATTATTTGAATTCCAAGAATATATGATGCATCTCCCATGTCTTTCATCTCAAACTTTTCGCTGAGATCTGCCTTGGTTTTATTCAACATTTCTATGTCATTTCCAGCGAGCAATATATCATCCACATATAAGGATAATATAGTAAACTTGCTCCCACTTTTCAAGACATATACACAATTATCTAATTTATTTTGAATAAAACCAAGTTTAGTCAGTTTTTGACCTACAAAATAGAACAATAATTAGTTGCAGTTTTTGAAGTTGCAGCAATAACGAATGAAAGTACAGTTTTTGACCTACAAAAATAAGTTAACAGTAAGGGAAATTACACATGTGAGAGTTTATATATTTCTTGTTTTGAGATTCTGTTTTAAGAATTACAAATTGAAATTGTTTAACTGTATTTATTATTTAAGTTTAATTGTTTAAGTTTAATTTTAAGTTTAATTGTTTGATTGTTTAAGTTTAATTTTAAGAATATATATTTATCTTCAAGTATCATAATTAAAAAAAAAAAAACCGCCTAGAAGAAAAAAACCGCCCAGAAACCGATTAGGCGACCGCCTAGGCGTCTAAGCGCTGGGCACCAAGTCCGGCGCTCAGGAGCGCCCAGCGTTTAATGTAAGATTGTCTCTACCCCTCAGATCCGCCCCCATGAGAGATTTTCTCTCAACCACCCATGATTCACGTTCTCCACCATTCTCTCAACAGAGAAACAATGGTTGATTTGGTCATCAATGACCAAGTCAAGCTAACATTAACTCCTCATAGACATAAATCTTTCATCTAGGAAGAGGGAGTAAAGCCTAAAAAATATCAACCATGTGTTAAGAACCCTAAACCATCATAGTTATACTTGATGAAGGCGGCAGTTGAGACTTTATGTTGTGTGAATACTCTGAAATGTTGGTTGGCAGCCTTTTTCTGCGCTATGATCCTAAAATGAGTTACTTGCAGATGGATGTATAATTGCAAAAGTGAAGTATTGATATATTTATGGTTGCTGATAACCCTTTGCTACTGGAGGGTATTAAGTGTCTGCAAGGGATTGAACATGCTAACTCTTCTATTTTATTTCTTGGTATGGACCATTGCGTGCAATGTTGAATGTCATATATGCATTAGCTAAATGAATTTCCTAACTTTTTTATTGGGGGGTTTGGGTTAGTGCATAATGGGTCTTTTTTAGATGTAATCTATTGTTTATGGAGCACAAATGGGCAGCTTGGTTAAAAGCATGAACAATGAGTTCATTAGTATTTGGGCAATGTATCATCTTAGGATACTAATAATGCAGCTTGATATTTGAGATGGAAAAGGTAATAATTCTATCTGTTTAGACTTAAGCATTTTTCAATAAGGTGTCTGTATATAATCATAAAAAAGAAAATAAATTATGCATATCATCATGCAGTACATATTTGGTTCTATGAGAAGTTCTATCATGTTGGCCCCGTTGGATCCTTGTTAATGCTTTTGTTCCTTATCCTGCAGAAGATATTCTGTTGAATATTGCATGCATTTTGCCCATACATCAGCATGTTCTTATTATACTATAGGACTGCATTTCTGGATAATTGAAGTTTTGACCAAACTGGTTGTGTGATCATGCAGAATTCTGGCAAATCGGCAGTCTGCAGCTCGCTCAAAAGAAAGAAAAGCACGTTATATATCAGAACTTGAGCGGAAAGTTCAAACCCTTCAGACTGAAGCTACAACACTTTCTGCACAACTCACACTCTACCAGGTTTCTTCCTGTATTTTTTCATGAATAGCTAAAAGTTTGATGGATTTTTGGTCTTTGTACTAGAGATCTTGTTATTTCCTTTGAGCTCCAGACATCCCTTTCACTTTTAGCTAAAATCCTTTTTTTTGTGAAAAGTTTAAGTAGTGTCTTCTGTCATGAGCTTTGCCAGATCACTTGTCTTTTTGTTTAAGGCAACAACTCCAGTCTACATCAAGTTTATGTTTCAACATCTTTTCTTGTTTTCATCTGCATATAAATCCAATACTAGCTTTATGTAATGTTAAGTTCTCATATTTGAATTTCCTCCCATATTCTCGGAAAGCTGTTTCTCTGAGTATCTCTCTGCGCTGCGTTTTTTCCCTTTCAGAGAGATACAACAGGGCTTAGTGCAGAGAACGCCGAGCTGAAGATACGGTTGCAAGCCATGGAACAACAAGCTCAATTACGTGATGGTAAGTAATTCATTCTAAGTTTGAGATACTGATGTCTTCATATCTTACCTGTTTAATATCATTTAGCTTAATATCTCTCCTCAAGTTATTACAAATGGAGTCACATTTTGTTGGCGTAACCATGTTGTTCGACATCTCATCTCAATTCTCATTAAAAGGTTAAACCTATGTGCCCTCTCTATATTAGTATTTCTTGTGTATTTTCTTTTGCATGCTTTTTATTCATCTTCTAATATAAGAGTGTACGTTTATAATCATAATTAAGAGATGTATGCCTATATAAGTATTGGTAATTTTCCTATTGGAATAAGTTGGATAATTTTGTGGTCGCGTGAAGTCTAACTAAATGGCTGGTTGTATGGCATAAACTCAAAAACAGTGAAGATTTCTAGAACAAAGTAGTTCTAGAAACCATTACTTGAGGGATTCCTTGTTTTTTATCTTTCAGAATGACTATCAACAAACATTCTGTAATGTAACTCATACATTGATACCCAACAAATTTTTACAAGCTGGCAGCTTCTAGAGCTACTTCTAAATGGCTGGTTGTATGGCATAAACTCAAAAACAGTGAAGATTTCTAGAACAAAGTACTTCTAGAAACCATTACTTAAGGGATTCCTTGTTCTTTATCTTTCAGTATGACTGTCAACAAACATTCTGTAATGTACCTCATACATTGATACCCAACAAATTTTTACGAGCTGGCAGCTTCTAGAGCTACTTCTTTTTTCTAGATCAACTCTAGCTTGTGAACAAAACAAGAAAGCCGTGTTTTCCCCCCTACTGGACAGTTCGATGAAGGTAATTTCACCTTTGCTTTACATTTAATTTGCAAGATTCTTTCATGGCAGAATAGATACTGTAGCGTTTAAGTACTCCTTTGTTTAAGTGTGCCCCTTCCTTCACTAACTGTTTCTTTTTGTTATTCATAGGGAGCTATAACTCTCCTGTAAGCCATTATCATGATATTTTTTTTGGTAGTCAACAAAATGATGACTAATTTAAGAGTAGGATTGCTGAAGGATAATACAAACATAAGTTCAAACTGCAGAAGGGATCTGTAGCATAAATTTGATTTTTTACCAGGGGGGATAATGACTGATCTAGGATGTTAATCACAGCACTGGAACCTCCTGAGACTGGTTAATCAGCCAAACTAGTAGTCAACTGACCGAGCAATTGACGTCATGAAGGATTTGGGATCATGGATGAGTATGCAATAAAATAAGATATCGGATGGTAATAGTTGAGCTAGGACTAAGAAAAAGAAACGATGGTCTGAGTTTTACCTTGCAATTTATCTATAAACTTATCAGCATATATATTTAAAGAAATAGAAACGACATAAATTTTTTGTTAATTAAATGAGTGGTTTTGATATTGTATCTGAGGAGTGTATGTGGCAATATTGATGTTATTGGGGACTTGTGGGTTAGAAAGTAATCAAGAGGAAAACAATTGAAAACCATGTGTTATTTATCATGTTGCACTTTTCTGGATCTTTACTAAGTTTTTGACTCTTTGTATAGTTATTAATGCTCTAACTATGCATATTCAAGATGCCATTAACTAGTGCGTATTGTTTGCCTATCATATTCAAGTATTTTATTGGATTATATGACCAGGAATGGTGAAAATTTCTAAAGCATAATATGGAGAGGTTTTGTAATCTCACAGGATTGTAATCAGCAATCTGAAACAAAACATGTTAAAATTAGCTTAATGAGAAGTACAAAAAGAAATTAAGTTGAATTCCTGTTAATGGAAACTTGCTGCCACAGAGCAATCATTTGCATTTCTTAGGATTGATCATGATGATACTGATATTAAAAACATTGAAACAAAGCATGACTGTTAAAGCAGCAAGCGGTTCAAGAGTGCAATGTGATCATAAAGTACATATGAAGTTGAATGAAAGTATTTATAGAATGGCCACATAACTAGATATGTTTTACACACACACACACACACACACACACACACACATATATATATATATATATATATATACATATATATATATATACATATATATATATATA